GTGAAAAAAGAAGAAAACCTGGACATTTGTAACGTCAGTACAGTAAAATGACAAACCTGTCTATGGGTGCTCTTACGTAAAGTACCACCACGGAACGTCTTAAGGCACTCTTACAAAAAACATTCAAAACGTTGCTTGGGGAAGGCAAAGCACGGTGTGCATGCAATATGATGCAAAAAAAAACAAAAAAGAAAATAAACTACAATATGAAAAGCAATTTGAAAGACTTTGAGACTTTTCACGCCATTACGTCTAATAACGAGCAAAAACCGTTGAAAAATGATCAAACGGATCAAAAACAAGATTCCGGTCATTTTAGTGACCTGTATCCGCGCGCAACTCAGTAGGTCGCGCTGCCAGGCGCGCGCATCTGTCTTAGTTGCGCTGATATGTCACGCGCAACTGGTTTAGTTGCGTGCGACACTTTGTTCAGCAAAAAGAAAATCGCAAAACGCAATTTTTTCATTTCGCCTTCTCTCTCCTTCCTTTAAGATTTTCGCTTCTTTCTCTCTTTAAAGAGCTCAAATTTTCTTGTTTTTTGAAGCAAAAGGAAGTAGATCTCGTCCCTTATTCATATTTGCTATAATTCGTTCATTCTTAACTGAATTTGGGCGGTTTCGAACCGTTAAACCCCAAATTTTGAGTTTGGGGGGTTTTTGATTCGACTTGTTTTCATGAATTTGTTTGTTTGTTGTTGTGACATGTTTAACCAATATATTGCAACAAATTTCATGTAAAGTGACAAAGTATTGATCCTGTATGAGCATGCCAAGCATATATATATATATATATATATATATATATATATATATATATATATATATATATATATATATATATATATATTTGTTCTAATTTTGACTTTGTGCTTGAATTTTATTTCTCTTTTGTTTTGATCACATAGACTATAATTGTTAATTTTAATGTAAATTGAAGTGTTTAAAACAACATTTATTGATTAAAATTATAAATGAAAATTTGGACTTTTATAATAGCATGAATTTGCGACTCATGTTTTTTTTTTCATGCGTAAGTTTCAAAATTGGTTTTATCAATGATAAAAATAACCGACGGTTATTATTATTCACTTATAAAACTGTGATCTCAAGATTTGCACAAAACTAGTTAGTTTAGGGAATTCATGAAGAGAGCATCGAACTAGAGTAGTTTGGCTATACTTCGGGCTTTTGAGCCCCCATTTTTTATTATCGAATATTGTAGCCCCCAATGTTGGGTGACTTCGATGACTTGTTTGTTTTTTTAATAATTAGACCCTTTCATGTTGCTTGAAATGGGTCTAGAAATCATGTGTTTCGTCTTATTATGATAACAACTAGGATCTTGGAAACGATTAAACTAGTGTGTTTAAATTGTTTTTTTTTTACTATTCATAGTTTTAACAAAGAAATTTTCTAAGTCTAGTAATATTGGTCATTCATTTGAACAAGTAAGAGGAAAAATGAAATGTTGTTCAAATTTTTTCGTCTATTCTTGCTACTTTTGAATTCTTTCTTTTGAGTTCGATTTTTTTTTTCACTGTTTTGAAGCTCGAGAAAGTAGATGTTATCCACCTTGCGAAATTCCAATGTGTGCAACAATGGAGAATAATTTTAAATGAAGGCTCCTTAATTTAGAATTTAGGAGTCTTTTGTTTACATTCTAAATCATGAAATTGTTTGTCTTATGTTAATAATGTGTCTTGATACAATTTTCATGATGAATGATTGAGTACTAAACTTTTGTATGAGCAAGTATGTTTTATGCATCATGATTTTGTTTCTTTTACTCTATACTAGTCATACTCTCTAATCTCTAGAGTAAATTAAAGTATTGGAACAACAATTATGCACTAAGATTAGTTTTTGAAGTTGAACTTGAAAATGGCTTAACTATGTAACATGTTTAATGGCCAATTTTAGCTACAAACTTAGTTTTCAAAGGAACAACATGATTATTACATCATTGTGATACATTTTAAAATTGTAAGGCTCGAGATCTACCTAAACCCTTTGTAGTTAGGCGATTCTCGAAAGTATTTCATTTTGTTTTTATTCATTGATATTGGAGCCCTCATTTCTCGGGTTATGCTCATTCTTGCTATCTCACAAGTCTTGGAGCCCCCATTTTGGGGTAGTTCTAATGACTTGCTATCGTTTAGGCCATCCATATAATCATGATATTGGGAAAGACCTATTTTTTTGTATATATGTAACACCCCAATAATTCTCCCTTTTCCAAACCACTTACTTTAAATAAAAATAAAGGAGAACCATCGGCATGTTACCGCCACGTGTTAAAACGTTAAGGCTTTATCAAAGTATTGCAACGGAAATCCAACTTAAATCTTAAAATAATATAATTTAGAAAACCAATAAGTCAAAGCTTACAAATTGGAACTATAAAGGCACTTATTAAAACCAAACCAATATTCAAAATCCCAAAACATAATTAAAATAGTAAAACATAAATAAGTTCAACACAAAGAACGAATACTCTCAATCACACCAATCCCTTGACAAAGCGTATGTCAAATCCCCGAACTTCACATCATCAAGCTAACCTGTGCAATACTGCTGCCCAATAATACAAGTCTAATAATTGGATCATCACAGGGTTATTGAAAGGCGAAGGCCATGACCAAAAGAAAACACACAAAAGCACGCAATCAGCAAAGCTGAGCACATACAAGCTAATACGCACAAAACCTGACATGCTCAACTAATTAAAGTAAATAAACATACAACTTGAATTCATTAATCAAGACTCCACACTTAAACAATTCAATTGACTCAACATACTTTCTAACCAATTCTAAACACTCGACTCTTTATATTTAATTTAATTAATTTAGTTTGGAGTAAGCAATAGACGAGGTTGTCCAATCCATCAAATCATTTTGGACCCAAATGACCATTTAAAATAAAAGTTTAGCGCAATGCAAAGATGGGCGCGACTACATTCTCACAAAGTTAGTCTAGGATCCCATCTAACTTTCATTATAAAATAAAATGTAAATACCAAAAGAAAAGAGGACATGTTGATCAAACAAGCCTCGGAAAGCCACGGACTACCACCGTGTACCCCAACCCATAATTGTCAATACTCTAGAAGTGCACGCTTTCTAGAGTTTTATTACTCATCCATGTTTCACTTTACGTGATTACAATTTTAATTAATAGTCGACTCAATCAAATAGACCTTACATAAAAATCATACATCAATTTACTTTTAATCTTATTTAGGACAATGGTGATCACATCACAAATTGATCTTTAATTTCACTAAACTTCTAAATTATCCAAATTGTTGAACATAGTCAACCCACCTAGCCATTTCAGCTTAATCCACTTTTACTCAACATACTAACAAGTCATGCTTGATTAATAAATAAAATAAATAACAATCTTGTGGAATAATTAATAAATTCATTCCACTTAAACCATTCAATTCCAATCCTTTAATAATCCAAATGTGGTTAACAAACCAATCCAATAAAAATATGCTTGTATCAACATTCCATACAAATAATTAATCCAATATAATTCAACATGCTTGCATCCATAATTCCATACAAACATAATTCAATTCACCAAAACATGTCTCATAAATATAAGCACATACATAAATCAATGTATAACCAAACAATTTCCATCCAAGTGTTCTCTAATCATGAAACTAAGTTCTTTTCTTTGGTACCTAAACATGATACTACTTACAACGAAGTAGACATGTACGTACCTCGTATAAACAATCCTTTGTGAGACTTTTAATCAATTAAAAGTCTCCTAGGGTATAATCACCTCCTAGAAAACAACCAATAATCACAAATTAACACTTAAACAAATTTTCAACAATATAAATTTGATTAAAAGTCCTTAAAACTTCATTAAAAACATGTTTTTATGCTTAATTAATCATTAGAAATGCAATAGGAACAAAAGCCCCAATTTAATTGCTCATTAGAACCCTAAAATCCCAATTTTATTAAATTGAAACCCTAGGTTTATAATTCATAAAATCTGAAAATTTATACCATAAATATAATCTTAAATTTATAATCTTTATACCATAAAAATATAATTTGATACTAAAAATATAATCTTTATACTACAAAAATCAAAACATAAACAAAATTAATTATTTTAAGCAGTTTAAGAAAAACAAAGGCGAGAGAGGAAGGAGCAACCACGCATGGTGGCTGGGCTGGTGTTCGCCGGCGACGGCGGCAGGTGGTCCGGCCAGCAGGTGGCAGCAATGGTGGTGTGAGTGAGGATTTCCGCACGTGAAGGAGGAGGGAAGGGAAAGAAGAAAAAAAAAAGAAAAGAAAAGAAAAAGGAAAAAGAAAGGAAAAAAAATTAAAAGAAAAGAAAAATAAAGGGAAAATAAGAGAAATAAAATAAAGAAAAGAGATTTTACTAACCTTTTTGTGTGGGGAAAAATTTGGGGATGTATGGGGTATTTATAGGAGAGAGAGTGGTGTAGGGTAAGTAGTAAAATTGGGCCTCAAAATTAATGGGCCAATTAAATAAGTAAAGTGGGTTAGGTTTGTTTGTTGGACATAAATTATAGAAGGAAGGTATTTATAAAAATTTGTACCAAAATAATTTTCGACCCAAAATTAAAAATTGAAACTTTTGAAATTAAATTCCGGAAAAATACAAATAAATATTATAAATAATAAATAATTTCTCTTAATAATATATTTAAAAATATGGGGGATTACAATATATATGATACATTTTTATATATATCATTTTTTTTCATGTGTACATTAATGCGAAAAATTTTCGAGGGAGGGAAAGGGTTCCCGACTTACCCCCCTCGAAAAAATAAACAAACTCCAAAAAAGAAGACAAAAAGAAGGAAAAAGAAAAAAGAAAAATCAAAAGTAGGAAAATAATAAAAAAAAAATAAAAAGAAAAAGAAAAAGAAAGTAGGAAAACAACGGAAAAAAGAAAAATTAAAAGAAAACATGAAAATAAGAAAATAATAAAAGAAAATAAAAAGAAAACAAGAAAATAAGAAAATAATAAAAGAAAATAAAAGAAAAATAAAAAGTAGGCAAGAAAAGGGACACAAAGTGTTAGAAAGCAAGCGTATGCACTACTACAAAAACAAGAAATGAAACGCAACATATAGAACGGTTGGGTAGAAAAAGCGTTCTTTGCAACTACATAGAACGGTTACCTGTAGCAGGCGTTGTGTAAAGTAATAAATATGAAACAGTTAAGAACCTAACCGTTCTCTATACTTTATAACATTAAAAAATTATTTTATTTTATTAAACTAATAAAAGAATAAAACAATGTACTCAAACAAGTATATAACCGCAAAGTATTTTTCCAGTTAATTTTGAAAAGCCCGTCCACAAATAGTTTATCCCTCTTTTATTTTTTAAATTGGGCAATTACTTTGATACTTTAGCAAACCTAACCCACTTCTTTCTTATCCTACCCGCCTGCCGCCTCCTCTTTCATTTTCCTCAAGCTGTATTGCTCAACTTCCATATACATACTCCGTTTTCATTTGATTTTAGCAATAAAAAAATACAATTTCAATTTATTGGATATATCTAAAATTTGTATTGATTATTTATTCTCATCTAGTATCAATTTATATATCTATCAATTGAATTTGGTTAGCGTTCTACAATCTAATTATAGAAATTATTCATTTATACGATTATCTTCATGTATTTGTTAAGGATTTTATGGCTTTTTACGGTCGATATGATTAAATCTCGATGATTTATCCCGTCAGCGGTGATAGTGGTGTCGGCGTTGTCGGCAAAGCTCGGAAATTGCTGCCTCCGTCGTTACCTTTCCCGCCCTGGTTTTCCGTTGAAACAATTTTCGAGTTCTCCATTGAAGTGTTGTCGTGCTCTTAATTGACGGGCTTCTCTCCTCTAGTTTTTGTGAGTTTTCCTTTCCTTATCTTCATTTTTAAATCATCATATACAGTTTCGTGATGTTTTGTTGTTGAATTGGGTTTTCTGTTTAGATGTGTGGTATAAGAATTTATTGTTTGTTAGTAAAGTTGTGATTGCTAATTTTATTTAACCCTGCTTATAAAATATAGGCAGCTCACAGAACTTGGGTTTTAATCTCGGTCATCCAATGAAGAATGCAAATTTTGGTTGCTTAGCTTAAGAAAAATAATCTTCAAAGTTATATGAAAAAAGCAAGGAACAAAAATTCGGCGTTTGACATACGAAGTATAATTTTCCGAGGTTACTCAAGCGCAAGATTAGATTATGCCATGTCAATAATCAGGGCTTTTATCAAGGTTGAGCAAAAATTTTGTTAAGTATAATACAGTGTATATTACAAAGTAATGAAATTATTTTTCTGAGTTTAATTTCTTAGTTTGCATGTGCATTTTGTTTTCTTGGCTTTTGTTTTGCTTTTAATTGTATTACCATTTCGAGATACATCACAGCAAACATGTTAGATTGTTAGTAGCAATGAAAACATTATATTTTATTTAATACTTTTTTATTTATTGTTTAATTGAAACCTTTGAATTTGGTAGTGCTTTTAATATATGTACTCCATCTTATATAATTCGGGAGTATTTATACATAAGAAATGCATAATTTTTTTTTGCTGGATATTATATAAATACAAGCATATACAAGAAAAATACAGTTGGAAATACAAGAATATAGGAAGATGTATAAGCTAGCGATTTTGGCTTTTTTATTTTTTATTTTTTTAAAAAAAGGATTATAGAACTGTTGTCTTAGGTAACAATTCTATTTTGTGAGGATTATATAGAATGGTTAAGTACTCTAACCGTTCTCTTTTCCTTCATTATTTTCTAAATCCAAGAAGGGAAAAGAGAACGGTTATGACAAAGAACCGTACTATATTGTTTAACATATAGAACGCCTCTTCAAGGCGATCTATATACTTTACACATCGCTTAGCAGAAGAACGGTTCTAAGGCGTTCTATAAAGCCTATTCTAACCATTTTCTAAAGCCTTTTTTGTAGTAGTGATGATTCGTCTTATGATCTCGTGAAGATTTCGTCATTATATGAGCCAAAATACGGAAATTAACCATAATTACATGCCGCGTCATGGGAGTCGAGTGCATTTTCGTGAGTTGCGCGCGGCTGTCACGCGCATGTATTTTTGTCGCGCGCAACTCAGGAGTCGCGCGCAACTACTGTCAATGAACTTTCCTTTAAGCCGAATTTGCCACTCTTGGGTCTATTTAAACGTGGTTTTGTGTAGGCTTTTGATCATTTCGCATTCATTCACTTAGTAACATAAGAAATTAAAAAAGAATTAATCTCTCTATAATCTTATTCTCTCTCTCTTTTTTTTTTTGAACAATGGTGAAGACCTTTGAACAACGTTTGAAGCAATGGGTCACTTCCCTTTCAACTAAGGACAAACTAGCTTTCAAAATTTATCACTTGGACCCTTTATTGAATTATATGCAATTAGTGGTTAACTTTGATTTTCTTCATGTCGCAGTCAACCATTGAGACTCTAACTACCATCTTTTCTTATTTAGAGGGGATGAAATTGTCCCCCTTCCTGGTGAGTTCGAGTTCTTGCTAGGTTTCCCTACAAACACTCTCCCTGTGACTTATTCGCCTACATTGTCGGATCCCAAACCTATATTTTAAAGATTTTTTGGTTTGTCCGATAATGATATGATCAACATAGGAACTGAAGAAGGCGTGAATTTAATTCAATTTATTGAACACTTCGTCGCCTCTCGTGACAACATGACTAAACAACGCTTTAAAATTCGTGCTTTATGTTTGACAGGGTAAAGTCGTATCCCCTAATAAAAAATAATTACCTATGTCCTCTAACTAAAGTAGATAGGGAAGTAGGGTCGAACTACACAGGGAAACAGGTCTTTCTATTCCTAATTAATTATTATAGTCTAAATTATCTGAATAACCAATATTTTTATGAATAAAATCTAAACTACGGAGAATAAGGTCGAAAGGAATAAAGTAGGGAGAAAATCAAATATTAAAAGGCCTAGGGCTTAGGTTCACTAATAAACAATATTGCAGGGCAAATCATAATAAGCAATCATCAAGCATTAGTTAATCAGATTATAAAGGGATTTCGCTATGTATTATAATCACAGAGTTAATTTACCGGTATTAAATCTCATCTGTCGAATCTCGACTTAACCATTTATAAATTAATCCGCCTATTGAAATAAGCCTAAACATCAATTCTCATCTGTCGACTCTCGAATTAATATTATTAAACTCATACAATTAAATCTGGCCAAACCTAATTGCATAGCATTAAATCAATCAATAGGAAATCAACCAAGCATTGATAATTGACAATCACAAAATTACCCCTTCATATCATTTATTAGATCCCCATAAACCCTAGAAATAAAACTACTCACACGTCATCATAACTAAACTAATCAAATAAATAAATAAAATCATAATCAAAGAAGTAAGTAAAATAACTGAAATTAAAAGAGAAGAAATTGTTACCAAAAAGAAATCTAGAATTAATGGAAATAATTAAGAACAAAAGTTGAGAGAGAATTTAAGAGAGAGAAATATTCTAAGTAGAGAGAGAAATTCTAAGAAAGAAGGTGATCAAAATTCCGTACAAATCTCGTACTTAACGTTTTCTAAAACAAAAAGAAAAATTAAACTAATCAGGCTCCATAAAAACACGCGCCCGATCGGGCGAAGGGCTGCTCGACCGGGCCCGCCTTTTTCTTCGCGTTCCTTTTCCGCAGCATCACCCGATCGTGCTAGACGCTCGCACGATTGGGCGCGCTATAAGCACGCACAGCACTAACGCCGCGCCGCGCCCGATCGTGCAACCTCTTGCCCGATCGGGCCCTTGCTCCACTTTGAGGCTCGAACTTCGATTGGGCTTGTATTCTCGGCCCAATCCGGATTTCCTCTTCGGGTCGTGAATACTCGGTCCAAATTCCTTCGGATCCCAATTACCGAGCCCTTAATCACCGGCTCGATGACTCTAACCGGCCTTGGGCATCAAAGATGATCGTGCACTTCTAATTCCCATAGTCGCTCCATGAAAAACCCGAGAAAATGCTCAAAAGGCGCAATTTCCTACAAAACTCAACAAAGACTACGAAAACACTAGAAAACACAAATTAGTAATAAAAGTGGCTCGAAAGAGCCAAAAACACTACTAATTATGACCAAGGAACGGGGGTAAATTACTATATAAAATGGACATATCAATGTTATTGTCTTGTTGTTAATTGTTTACTTAGGACATACAAAGAATACGGAGATTATTCAATGGTGTCCATAGTACAACAAATAGAGGGATGTCATTCACCCGCTCCTTTGGTTTTGGCGGAAACCGTTCTGTGCTTGAATCGCCTTAGTGGAGATCATAACGAAAACAGTTTCGCAGGAAGTCGACTCCTATTACACGTACGTATGTTTTATTTTATTTATTTTTTTCGGTGTTTATCAGCGCAAGTCAAGAAGTTGCGTTGGCATGACCAGCGCAATCTTATGAGTTGCGCGCAGAGGGTGCGCGCAACTAATTTAGTTGCGCACGCCACCTGCTCGTGTAATAAATCGCAAATTATTTTTTTATTTTTTAATTTTTTTTTCAGATTTGGCTAATGGAACGTTTGCGAATTGTTGATTAACCTCTAAACCTTGAGGCTAATGGAGTAAAGACATTTCCTTGACGTCGAATCCTTTACAAGCATAAGAATGAAGAGGAATGGACGTCGTTTTTTCTGTCATGGATTTTAACATACGGTTTGTGATTACATGGTGGAACAGAAATAGTATGATTGGGAATAGTCTCAATTGCCCTTACATTAGGCTTTTAGGCCTATCTACTGACAGGGGAATAATCGCGTCGTTAAACGACTATCCCTAAATCAAATACAATTTATACAACCTAAACAAACCTACTACGATTATAAGGCAAGCATAGGGGTCGAACCACAGAGAACTAATAAATACCACCAAATGTTATCGACAATTAAGCTAGTCCGGAAAAAGAGATAAACAAACTAAAGTCTAAAGATGCTAAAACAAGAAATAAAACATTAAGAAAAATGGTTTAGGTATAGCATTCGCTTGAACATAAACAAAGACGTAGAAATTGAATTAATTATGAACTAAACATGCATGAATATAGAAGTAAAAGATCCAATCTATCCGCCTCCCGGAGTCAATTGGCTTCTCCTAACATAGCCTTTATGTTTTCACACTAGAACCATATATTGGGAGGGACAATCAAAGAACAATCGATAGTAATGAACCTTAACTAAGTCAACTTTCGTTCCTTATTAGCAAAGATTCACCTTTAATCAACCAACAATGTGCACTTGCAAGAATATTAAAGAATATCAAGCATATAAAGACTTTAATCACAAATAAATCAATTCTAAACCCTAGAACATGCTGAAGATCCAACTACACCACAACCATCCCCTTAATGGGGAAATTACTCATTAATCATGCTAATAACAAGATTAATTAACAAAATAATCAATAATAAACATGATTAACAAGCAATACCAACAACTAAAATAATAATCAAAAGAAAGAAAATAAAATAGAGGAGAGAGAGTTAGAGATTCTCATTGATTGAATGTGAAAATGTACAAACAAGATGATCAATCTTCTTCTTCAATATCCAAGCTGAACAATGGTGAAACCCTAACTTTCTCTCTCTAAACTACTCTAATCCTAACCTAAACCTAGAGAGAGAAGGTCTCCTAAAAACTAATTAGAGAATAGAATAAATGTTAATTGTTCTATTTCATGTTATACTAATTGCCCCAAAAATGGGTATATATACAAAGCTAATAAAACTAAGCAAAAAATAGAACAGAAAATAAATAAAAAAATAAAAATAAAGAAGGAAAATAATTATAAAAATAAAAGAAAGAAATAAAAATAAATAAATAAATAAATAAAACAAAATCCCCAAAACCCACAAAACAAATCAGACGCCCCTTTCCTCCTTCGCATTTGGCTAACTCCATTGAAGCGCATCACCATCACCACCGTTCATCAACCATCATCATAAAATTGTCACCGCTCATCTTCCTCAATTATCATCAAGCATCAAATAAAACCGTTCGATCTTCCTTAAGAATTACGCGTGAAGCTCGTGAAATGGTTCGGTCGAACCATGGGTTGGTGTGGCCGAACTACGAGGTTGGTTCGGTCGAACCATGAGTGTGTTCGACCACACCTCTTCAAATTACAAAACCTCAAAAGTTTCTGACTCATACTTCGACTGAACTCCTATGCGGTTTGCTCGAACCCAATTGGAATTGCATTTTGCTCTAATTTTAGCTGATGCTTGTGCGAATTGGTGATTGGATTAATTGTTGTAGGTGGTTTGTGAT